CTTTCCGCTTCAGCTTTCCAAGTAGCCAGAATTACAGGCATGCGCTACCACGCCCGGCTGATTTTTTGATTTATTGTAGAGATGAGGTCTTGCTGCCCAGGCGGGTCTCAAACCCGCGAGCTCAGGCAATCCACTCACCTCAGCCTCCCAGAGGCGCGGGATTACAGGCTGAGCCACTGAGCCCGGCTTAAATAATTTTTAAAAAACCAAATGGCATTAGGTATTATGTTTCTCCATTTAGAAATCTAATTTAATTAATATTTTAAGAAATATGAAGCCATAACAAAAACTCTCATTATTTTTATTTTGGAGTGTGTTAATAAATGCAAAGAGATTGGGAGAGACATACTGTTTAATGATGCTTATTTTCAGAATGTTTAATATGAGTAATTTTTTTTTACCTCCTTTAAGAGGAGTAATGTTTATTGGCTAAAGGTGGGAATGATAGTTAAGACACCAATTCTGTTTCGAGGTCTTTGGCTATATTAATCATTGTGTAAAAGATTTCATTTTTCAAGAAAAGCCTTGATTTTCCTACCAATAAAGGCAATGATGAACAAGGTTTATGTGTATTATTTAACCCTGATTAGAGGAATATGTCTAGAGCAGTGTTCCTGAACCCAGACACTTTTGCCCTCAGGGACATTTGGCTATGTCTGGAAACATTTTTGGTCGTCACAGCTGAGTAAGGATGCTACTGCCATCTAGTGGGGAAAGGCCAGGGGTGCAGCTACATAACCTACAATGCACATGATAGCCAGCCACAATAAAGATTATCTGGTCAAGGATGAGAAACCCTGATCTAAAATAAAACCTGGTTTTTTTCAGCAAATGGTTCCAGTATGTGAACTTTGAGAACCACAGATACCGTTAATCATTCTCTCTCTCCATTTTGGGAGGTGCATCCACCTTCTCTCTCTAATCTACTTTCTAAATAAACTCTTTTTTCTAATTTAATTTCTGTGCAATTCTTTGCAACTTACCTATGGCACCGGCTCAGCCCACCGGCACACTGACCTAACATTTTTACCGACCTAACAGTATCCCTACTATACGTCATCCTGCCCAGGTCACAGCCAGGAACATTTATTTTCTCTAATATCATACATTTCTTGAAACGCAGGAATAAATACTGAGTCAGCATACATGTTCATTGCCTGCTTTTTTTGGGCTGATTCTTTAGGATGACCACCATACGCATCCGCGACTAAGCCACTATTGATATTTTAGGCTAACATGTCTTGTCCACACAGTTCTTTGTTAATAAAAATAAGACACTTCAGTGCCCTATATATGGGAGATGTAATAAGGACTCAAATATAAGGGACTCCCTCTCTTCTGGGGGATAAATTTGTGGGGAAATGTCCTTTCCTCTCTCATCAAACCTCTGTATTTTTTCCAACTTACCTGTAGCGTTTGACCATTTTTCACTCCTTGCTCTCCTCTTAGCCACAACTCTGTTTCTTTGTTAGTTCCTTCTCCTCTAACTGACCTCTAGGGTTCCTCAGTCCTTATTCTCAGATCCTCTTCTCTCCTTGGGTGCAGCAAGTGACGTCCAGGTTACATACATCCTTTAGGGAGAAGTTGCTTGCCCCCTACTTTTCTTTCCATTTCTTACCTAGAAGTGGGGACAACTGGGACACAGGCATGGAAGCTGAGTGTGAGGGCATAGCTGCCTGCCAACTCTGGCATGCTTATCTCTTGCTTGTTACATGAGAGAAAATACACTTCTGTTTTATTTAAATACACTTCTGCCACTCTATTTTTGGATCTCTTTGTTAAAACAGGTTAGCCTGTTTCATAACCAATTATTTTTCCCTCAAGAGGTTTGCCTCAGTGTTCTTTACACCAGAAATCTACCAGTCACTCAAGCTAGAAATCGTATCATTCTTGATTCCTCCCTTTTCTTCACTCCTATATCTAGGAAACTAGCAAGTCCTGTGGTTTCTGTTACCCATGTAAATTTTTTCCTGTCTTCTGACCTCTGCACTGCTATCACCTTCGCCTGAGCCACCCTTCTTTCTTACCCCGGCAGCCGTTAACAGCCTCGGAGCTGCTCTCGCTATGTACGTTCTTCCGCTTCTAATGCATTCTCCCACTGAGCTGGAAAAGCGACCTTGAAACTGAAATTTCAAGTAAGTCCTGCCCTGTCACTGCATTCATCAAAACTCCTCAATGGCTTTTCTTCACACTTGCTACAATTTAAATTTACCGAGGCCTATGAGGTCCTGCAGTCCCATCAGAAAGGGCTTTTGGTTCCTCAACTACTCAAAGCTCTTTCTCACTTCAGAACCTTTGTATTTTCTGCTGCCTTGAGACAAACCTGGATCTCTGAACAATTTTTGTTCTTGGGCTCTTTGTTAACATAAAAAGTCAAAAGCGTAGAATGAAATAATCGAACTAAGAATAGGTATCAACCAGGACCATAGCCAAAATGGGTTAAATTCATTAGAAGATAAAGAATCTTAGACTAAATGTTTTAAACCCTAAGTATAAGTTGTTTAAAAATAATTCTGTAGGAAGGCTAAAAATAAAAGAGAAATACACAGAAAGCCTAAGAAAACTATTAAAGACAGGATGACATCCAATATATGGATTATTGCCCTGCCTAAAAGAAAATTCCAGAACAAATGGAAACACATTATTTGGGTAAGATAATACAGTTTCCTTGAGCTGAAGAAAAATTTTGATTTTCAGATGAAAAGGCCCAGTCATGGTCAAACCAAAATTAACAAAAAACTATCCAATACCTGAATGACATTTTGAATTTCAAAGATAACGGATGCCATGGATTTCAGAAAGAAAAATAAAACAATTACTCTCAAAGGCACAAAATCAGGCTCCTGAGTGAGTCACAGAGAAATGGGATACAATGGACAGCATATATAATATGTTGTGGTGAAAGGATGTGTGTGATCAATAATTCTCTGAAGTTTCTACCCTCTCTGAAAAAATTCACTGACAAATACTATGATGACTGAAAGAGTAATCAAAATAAAAACTTTTGGCCCGGCTCAGTGGCTCAGCCTGTAATCCCAGCACTTTGGGAGGCTGAGGTGAGTGGATTGCCTGAGCCTGCGGGTTCGAGACCCGCCTGGGCAACTTGGCGAGACCTCATCTCTACAATAAATCAAAAATTAGCCGGGTGTGGTAGCGTGCGCCTGTAATTCCGGCAACTTGGAAGGCTGAGGCGGAAGGATCGCCGGAGCCCAGCAGGTCGAGGCTGCAGTGGCCGCTAGCGGCCACTGCACTCCTGTCTGGGTGACAGAGTGAGACTCCAACTCAAAAAAAAACCAAAAAAAAAACCTTTTGAAGCAGTAGCGCATGCTTGATGGTGAGGGTAGAAATTAAATATAGGAAGTACGTCTGAATACTTTCTCTAAATACAGCTAAGAAGCACTGCAGATGTGAAAGATAATTTGAATTTTAACCTATTTTGTAAAATAAAAGCTCATTTTTTCATAAAAATAATTTGGCTGAATAATCCCTGATTATATTGTCATAAAAAGGAATGGCAATGAGAGGAATAGGGAAGAGCATGAGAGGAGGCAGTTAATAGCTGTTATAATAGAGAATTATCTGCTGAAGTGTTTGTAAATGCAAAAGTTGCAAATAGAATTCGAAACGAAGTGGTCACCTTTCACAGCAATCAAAAACAGAAGCATAACCCCTAACGCAAAAGCCAGAAAACAAAGGGAATAGGAATGTAACAAAAAGCCAAAAGCATAGAACAAAATGATTGAACTAAGAATAGGTATCAACCATAGCGACAGCCAAAATGGGTTAAATTTATTAGAAGATAAAGAATCTTAGACTAAATGTTTTAAACCCTAATTATAAGTTGCTTAAAAATAATTCTGTACGAAGGCTAAAAATAAAAGAGAACTACACAGAAAGCACAAAGAGCTTAGAGAGTATCAGGTGAAGTAGAATTTAACATAAAAGGGCAATAATGAGAGAAAGGTTCATTTTAGTTTGATAGAGTATAGTTCAAAATGAAGATACGGGAATCTTCTTGGAATGAAATAACACAATATTGAGCTATGAAACATAAGGATAATCTGGCAGATGTATGATATTAGTGGGAACCATGAACACTGTTTTCTCTGATGGACAGACCAAGCCCCTAAAAGATAACTGAGGTGTCTAGGGAAAAACCTGGGGAGGGAAAACCCTGGGGAGGAACCAGGCTTCCACTTTTGGGTTTAATGCTATAATTACAACGTCCACTCGCAGCCAACTCATACAAAATGGTTTTTTTTTTTTTTTTTTTGGTGAGACCTCATCTCTACCATAAATCAAAAATTAGCCGGGGTGGTAGCGAGCGCCTGTAGTTCCAGCTACTCAGAAGGCTGAGGCGGAAGGATCGCCGGAACCCAGCAGGTCGAGGCTGCAGTGGCC